TTCTGTTGATAGAAGCAGTGAGAGAAGGGGAGGGAGAGTGCTGAAGTCTGCTGTGGTCTGGGTTTATGTATGTGCTTACACACACACACGCACATACTATGGTTTATTCGTTTGCCATGGTTTTGTCTGGGTTTTGTCCGGATTATCCTTCGCATTTGAATTGGCTCCTCTTCGGTGATCTGTCTCCGGAGTCAACCGGCTCACACAGCCATCAACCGAGAGTCCGAAAACTCCGCCGGCTACATTAATGTGGGGGTTCCGATCCGGCGTCACCTCCGAGCCAGATCTCACCGGCCATCCCGTTCCCCCAGCTACAATACTGCAGTACAGTGATAGCTTTCTGAAGCTCATAACACACCACAGGGGCAGCCACAAGAGTAGAACTCAGTATTGATGATAAATCCGGCTTTTTTTCATCAAAACAGAAAAACAGCTTGGTCAATAACAATGGCTAGCCGAAACTCAGTCATCCAGGAATTCGAACCACTTCATGAGTGGAGGGGGATACACGATTTCTCCTTACCCAACTGGATACTCGTATGATCTTATAGCTCCCTCGCGAACACTGCGCTGGTCCAACATAAACAGACAAAATCACTTGCTATCAAGGATATCTTTTCAATCCTTCACACCAGGATACCCTTTTCATTCACCCAGCTCCTCTAGAAGGGAGGTCATCAAAGAATAGGCTTATTGATTGGCAATCTCTCTTCAGCGACACATCAAAGGCCCAAGCTTGGCGATAATGGATGGCTCATATGGCGAACGTCCAAAGGTACAAGAGCTTAGGAAACAAGCAGGTATGATTCCGCTTTCGATCATCCTATCCCCCGACCCCCTAAGAAAAAATAAAATAAAAATAAAACATCAATCTTGTGAGTTGATAACAAGAAACTGGGATAAAGATTTGATCATTCAGGGATTGGAACAACTTAGACTCCGCGGTAATGACTTTTTCCTTTGGCCTTCTCGGACAACTGATCCTCAAATAGATATTACTATTGAGCAACTGAGACTGAAGGAAGAACTTTTAAGTCGATTGGCCTCAGTGCTTCTACCACAACTTCGACTGCAATGTACCAGTCTTTCACACCAGTATGCCGAGCTATCTTACGTGCCGGAAGCGCCGGAATCAACTGTCAAGCTCATCTCAGAAATCCAGGCCAATCTTCATCTAAATCTTGCCCAGATCATCCAGACTATCAATCAACTCATTCCATACGAAATCCCAGCACCTGAGAATCGCACTCATGATCAAGACTTTAATCGACTCAAAATATATAGAATTTACCGTCTCAATCATATCATTAGGAACGATTTGAAAATTCATCTTGAAAGCTTATTTCGCAAGTCGATCCAAATTCTTCGAGAATTCGGAATCTCAAGCCACGAGGAAAAACATACGAATACTATGGAATCTATCTTGATTGATATCAGCGAAGCAATCGATTCGGCAATAGGTTATTTGAAAGGATCCGAATTAAGTCTGGTGTGGAACCTTTAGAAGAAAGCGAAGTTGCGATTGAATGAAGAATTGGAAGTCTTAACCGATCGGCTTCATCCTCAAGGCTCGATAAGACCAATTATCGATTCTGCAGAACCCGCCAGACAACCACAGATTGAACTTGGCAGAGCCCTCATCCCAATCTTCAAACTCTCAAGACTATTTTTCAAGAAATTACAGCAAGAGAAAATCGAGAAGAAAGGCGCAGGATTGTTCACAGAGATGTGTTCCAGTCAACTGTATTCTCTAGAGCGGTCGATCCGAGGCATCCCTCAATCGATTTCCAGTTTGAGGCATACAATCCAAGATGCTGGTCAATCAATCCCAGTCTCTGCAACTGCTTCCCAGGTCATGTCAAAACTCAGGGACATCATTGATTATTTCCAATCTTTTATCTTTCTCATACATCTCTATGTTCTACCTAATCTCTTCCCTCCTGATAACTCAAGCAATTTGTCCTCTCAACTTTATTTTCAAAAGTGGTGTGTTACTTGGACTACATTGCTCCTTAAAGCGGCCTATAATGCCACCCAAGCTGCCCAATCATTTATAGATGGTTAATTGAATCCCCAACTCTTTTCGTTCATCTAGTGCCCTACTGGTGATCAATGCCTTCTTCTTTTCCCTCTTTTTTTTAAAAAAAATAACATTAATTGAGATCAAAAATAGATTAAAGACATCGTTAGAATGCAAAATCAAATCCCCCAAAATTGATGATTCCAAAGGTTTCTTAATTGGTGGTGAAAACGTGGGGTCACAGAGAAAATGGTTATAAAATGATAGTGAAAGAGGGGCTGGTTCATTCGCTGTCTGGCCAT